GAGGGAGTTGGCTGATGTGATTACAGAACCACTGGCCATCATCTTTGAAAATTCATGGTGATCAGGAGAGGTCCTGGAAAAGGGAAAACATAATGCCCATATTTAAGAAAGGGAAGGAGGAGGATCCAGGGAACTACAGACCAGTCAGCCTCACCTCAATCCGTGGAAAAATCATGGATCCTCAAGGAATCCCTTTCTAAGCACTTGGAGAAGAAAAAGTGATTAGGAACAGTCAGCATGGATTCACCAGAGGTAAGTCATGACTGACCAACCCAATTGCCTTCTATGACAAGGTGACTAGCTGTGTGGATGCAGGGAGACTGGTGGATGTGGTGTACCTTGATTTTAGCAAGGCTTTTGATACTTCTCCCACAGCATTCTCCCAGGCAAGCTAAGGAAGTACGGGCTGGATGAATGGACTGTAAAGTGGACAGAAAACTGGTTGAAGCATCGGGCTCAGAGAGTAGTAATCAATGGCTCAATATCTAGTTGGCAGCCAATATCAAGTAGAGTGCTCCAGGGGTTGGTCAGGGGGCTGGTTTTGTTCAAAGGCTTCTTCAATGACCTGGGAGATGGCATAGAGTGCACCCTCAGCAAGTTTGCAGATGACACCAAGCTGGGGGGAGTAGTAGATACACTGGAGGGTAGGGCTAGGTTCAGAATGACCTAGACAGATTGGAGGATTGGGCCAAAAGGAACCTAATGAGGTTCAACAAGGACAAGTTCAAAGTCCTACACTAAGACAGAACAATCCCATGCGCCCATGCAGACTGAGGGCTGACTGGCCAGGCAGCAGCTCTGCAGAAACAACGTGCTCTGCAGGCATGACTTATGAGGAAGGACTAAGGAAACTGGGCTTATTTAGTCTGGAGAAGAGGAGACAGACAGGATTTAATAGCAGCCTTTAACTACTTGAAGTGGGGTTTGAATGAGGATGGAGCTCAGTGACGTACCGTAGGTCTCCAGCACCTGGGGGCCAACGCTTTCATTTGCACCTCTCCCCCTGCCCCATCCTTCTTGTAGCAATACTTAGTCACGTTGCGCAATAAGAATTGTGAAGGGCCCGGCCAGCACCTCCCTCCCCACCCCCTCAGGCCAGCACCCACGGGCCATGGCCCCCTCCCACCCCATTGGTCCACCACCAATACAGCTAAACTGTTTTCAATGGTGGCAGATGACAGAACAAGGAGCAACAGTCTCAAGATGCAGCAAGGGAAGTTTAGGTTAGATATTAGGAAGAATTTTCTCACTAGGAGAGTAGTAAACCACTAGAACATGTTACCCAGAGAGACAGTAGAAACTTCATCCTTGGGGGTTTTCAAAACCCAGCTGGACAAAGCTTTGGCTGGAATGATCTAGTTAGGATTGTTTGAGCAGGGGATTGGACTAGACAATCTCCTGAAGTCTCTTCCAACCCTAATTTTCTATGATTCTATCATTTGAATACCAAAGCCTTAACCTAATAGCTTAATAATGCAAGGAACAATAATTCAACAAAACCAGACCCATAGAAGTAATTGTTAGGACTAATTTCTGTTCCCAATTATGCTGAAGTAAAACCTATTGACTTCTAAAGAATCTCTCCAAATTTTACTTCAGTGTAACAGAAAACAAAATGTGGCCTTTAAACAGGCAATAGCTTTTTAAGGATAAACACTGGTGTGGCTTATTGTTCGATCAGAGTAGTATATGTCAGGGTCCTCCCTTTTTCATTTTCAGAGAGACAGCAGAAAGACAATCTATCTGTGTGACTTCAGAAATCTGTCTTCCAAGCTACCTACTGAGTAAGTAGGGGGATGGTTTTTTGATTCAGCACAATTATGACCATTATCACAAGTTTGGTTGAGTCTATTAGAATTTCTGGGATAAACCTTGTGTTTTGTGATTTAATATGTTGTCTGGTTTGTTTTTGTAGCGGGCTGAATCTTGGCATATGGGCTGTCAAATAATATTCTTTTTTATTCTTACAAAGTTTAATATAAACAGGAACAGCTGGTGTTGATTTATAAACAACAGAGTCTTCTTGAGAGTTTAGATATTATTTTGCCAACATCTAGGCCTAATCATTTGCAGGCCATTATTCAGTGTGGTGGACAGTGGATTTTCTAGTGTCTTGGAAAGAAGAAAACTTCTGAAAATAATTACACTAGTTACTGTAGCTTGTTTTAAATTTAAGCTATAAGAATTATATGTTATATGAGCTATGAGAATTATATTATATATATATGCATATATACTTATGTGCACAAGCACATATTTGATAGGTCTTTTCAACATTCATTCATTACATTTATCCCCCGCTCTTCATTAATCAGGGCTACAGGTTTGAAAATGTCAGAGTTCTAAAAGTTAATAATAGGCACCCACACAGAGAGAGTTAAAAGAACATGATGTACACTGCATGACCCAGGGACTCTGTGGAAAAAATTGTATGTTATTATTTAACACAAAAGAGCACCGTATACACAGAAGCCAGTTAAAGTTACCAAAGCAGCTTTAATTCTGGAATTTTCTAATGTTTGAGAGTCTGAGATGAAAACCTCAATAAAATTAATATATTATACAGTATTTACTTAATCCAAGAAGATGTTGAAATTAAGATGACTTCCTACGAATTAGATTCTATACCTGGAAAATTATAAATGTTTCAGTAGTTTCCAGGTATAGAATCTAATTAGTAGAAAATCATTTTAAATTTGCCCTGTGCCCCATCCCCACTGCTATGATGGGGAAAGCAGTGGCAGGGGGCAAGGGACCCTGTCCCTTGCTCCCCTGTCCCTTCCCCTCCCTGCCTAGCCCCCTGCCCCTCACCCCCAACCTGTGCCGCTTGGTACCTGCCCCCTACCCCACCTTGCACCCCTGCCTGTGCTTGCCCCCCACTCCTAGTCCCCTCAGCACTTACCCCCCTGTGCCTGCTCCTCACCCCGCCACCTATTGTGCCTGCCCTCCCACACCACTGCTTAACTTCTGTTCCAGCTTTGGGGCAGTCAGCAGCAGTAGTGGCCATGGCTCAGCCTCAGCCCACCCTGGCCAGGGTGAAGTGACAGCAACTTGTAGCCAAACTGCGTTGGGGCTGGAAGGACTGGAGCCGAAGCAGAAGGAAAGGGGGAAGGGGGCAGTTGGGTGGAAGGAAAGCTACACAGTGTCCCCTGAACCCCACATGTAGGTCTTCCCCATCTCCCCACCCCCACCATGTGGTCTCTGTTGTCCTTCCCCAACCACATACACCCCCCCCCCAACAAGACATCCTGGCTCAGGGCAGGCAGCATCTAAACTGTAGCTTCAGCCCCAAGCCCAGGGCTGAAGCCAGAGCTAAGCAGCCATCTGCCAGCACTTGAATCCAAGGTGAGCCTTTTTTATCCATGCTGACTGGGATGGAGGGGGAACTTTGTCTTGGATCTGGGTAAATGTGGTACAGTGTTTGTTTCCTATTAAATTGATTAGCTGGTGATCATGAATGCAGCATTGTTTCCTATTAAAACCTAGGAAATAAAACAAACTGAGTCCCTTCCCCCCATTACCCCTCCCGAAACAGAAATTGCATCAAGTGGCAGAGCAACTGGTAGTGGTAAATGTCTGCTGTCTTCTCGGGGTGCCAACTCGAGAACGGACTTTGCCAGTGGATTTCAGATATTTGCTGCTGGCAGAAGAATGCAGAGACTCAGATCCCCGCTGCCTGGAATCTCGAAGTTAATACACTTTCTGGGATGCACACACCTCTGCTTTTTCTGCAACCACAGCTTGACCCTACAACTGCTCCTGTCCCACTGTGGCTCTCCAACCCTTTCCCTTTGGCTCAGTTGCATTCTTCTCCCTTAGGTAGCCTCAATTTCTACTCATCAAGCTTCTAGCTTCCTTGCCTGGCAAGTTCTAATCTCTGCCTCCGGGCTTGTTTTTAGGGACCCAATCTCCCACCACATTCTTGGGCTTCTCCTTTTTGGATCCATTTTCACAGGAGTAGAAAAAGGCACAAAAGCCAACACAAGAGCCACCAAAGTTCACATCTCTGTTCCAAAGAATTGGGGACAGAATCCCAGAGCTCTTCAAAGAAAAGGTTACTAAAAATTTATTTCCCTCTTTCTTCATTCTGGGAACTATTTTTATTGAAATTTCAAAAATAAGAACAACTAAGGGCACATACCCAGCATGGACATTTCCAGCCCACATGGTTGAAGTTTGGTAAAATAATTAATAATTACAAAGAAAATTTTAGGGTGTGGGCAGATGTAATGCTCAGAACATTCTAAATAAATTTTGAACGGAAAGAGTCTATATGTGCATGTCACTTAAGACTGGTTTAAACTTCCTGGAACATTTCATAGAATCATAGAAGTAGGGTTGGAAGGGACCTTGTAGATCTTCAAGTCCGACCCCCTGCCTGAACAGGAGAAAAAACTGGGATTCAAATGATCGCAGCTAGGTAGGCATTAAGCCTCCTCTTAAAGACCCCCAGGGTAGGAGCCAGCACCACT